GCTCTCAGTGCGGAGAAGCCCTTCGCGTTCCACCTTCCTTTCCCTCCGGCCGCCAAGCCCGCAGGTGTCGCGGCCCTGCACCTGCGGGCTGCCTCCGGGGAGAAGCCCTATGCGTGCCCGCACTGCCCCTACCGAGCCTCGCAGCGCATCCACCTGCACGAGCACATCCGCATCCACACGGGCGAGAAGCCCTTCCGGTGTCCGCACTGCCCCTACGCCGCCAGGACCAACTACATTCTGACCAAGCACGTGCGGCGCCACACGGGCGAGAAGCCCTTCGCCTGCCCCAACTGCGACTACAGGGCGGCGCAGCGCAGCCACCTCACCACGCACTTGCGCACGCACTCGGGCGACCGGCCCTTCGCCTGCCCGCACTGCCCCTACCGCGCCACGCAGCGCGTCCACCTGCAGGACCACGTCAGGATGCACGCGGACGGAAGCCTGTGAGGGCGGGTGAGGGTGTGAGCAGGAGTCGGGCCGGGGGAGGGACCGGCAGGGAGGGGGGGGGGCGAAGGCAGGGCAGGGCGCAACAGCGCAGTGCAAGAGGCGCCCCTGCAGAGTGGGAGGAATCCGCTCGCGCGCCTTTCTTGGCTCATTTCTTTTTCGCTTCGTTAGATGACCGCGGTGTGGACGGCGTGCTTCTCGGCCGTCTGTCGCGGCGGGTCGCGGCCTCGCTGAAGGGCGGCACCCGTAAGGGCGCGGTTCAACTGGCCTTGCCCTCGTCTAGGTCTTGTGTCAGAGTGCCCAGCCTGGCGTGGTGGTTCAGCTGCGAAAAGCACCGCCGTATCAGACCCCACATGCTGCTCGCGTAACCGCGCAGAGTACTTCAGGCTTGAACAACTGCGCACAGGTACTCACTCCGTTTCGCCGCAGTTTCATTTCATGGCTTATAATTACTTGAAGAGAGAAGAAGGCAATCGAACGGACAAAGCAAGCAAGCGGGAGCGAGGATTGGAAGCGATGGGGAAGGGGGGCGAAGGCGTGAAAAAGCGGGGAGAATCCGTAGTGAGTGCTGCTGTGCTGTGTCCGTATGTGGGTGCTAATGACAGGCTCTCGTTGCAGGCTCTCACTGTGGAGAAGCCCTTCGCCTGCCCCACCTGCGCGTACAGCACGTACCGCCGCGACCACCTCAACACGCACCTCCGGACACACACCGGGGAGAAGCCCTATGCTTGTCCTCACTGCCCCTATCGGGCGTCACAGCGCGTGCACCTCAACTCGCACGTGCGCACGCACACGGGGGAGAAGCCGTATGCATGCTCGCACTGCTCGTACCGGGCGGCGCAGCGAGCTCACCTCCTGTTCCACCTGCGCACGCACACGGGCGAGCGCCCCTACCAGTGCCGGCTGTGCCCGTACGCCTCGGCGCAGAACTCGCACCTGAAGCACCACATGAAGGCGGTGCACGCGAGCCACGACCCGCAGGACCAGGACGCCGGCAAGGACGCCCTCGGCCACTGAAGGGGGCCAGGTGTGTGGAAGGAGGGGGTGGGGCGCAGTGGCGGAGGGAGTGAGAATGGGGCCAGCACGAAGAGAGTGAGAGTGAGGGAGCAGAAAGGAAGGAGTGGGAGTGTACAGGTTCTCCCCTGGGGAGGAAAGGTGCGAATCCCGAAGGGGCGTCAACGAAAGAAGGAACGCCGGTCTCGTAGACGGACGAGTCGGAGGGTGCGTGGACGTGCATGTGTTCCGATGAAGCCATTCCCTTTTATTTTGAACGTAGACCCAAAACATTTTTCTTTGCGGAATACGAGTTAGATATTGTGCCTGTCTCTCTGTTTAGTGTTGAGTTGGCCGAAATATTTGTGATTGGTCTCGGCAGAACAAGTGCGTCTCGACTGGTTTAGTATTTGCGATGACGAAAAGGAAAGTACAAAGGCGTTTGCAGAGAAGGAACGTGTCCAGGCGTTCTCATTCACAATTAACAAATTCCCTTCACATCACTTCTCTTCCTCATTTCCACTCGCTCTGTCTTCTTCCTCGTTCATCTTCTTCGTTCCTCGACATTTTTCCTTTTTTGTCCTCGCTCCTTCCTCCCTTTTCCCCAAAAAGACTATAGCAAAGCGAATCCCTCGACCTTTGTCCAGTGGAGGTTTGTGTTTCCTGTTTCACGAGTTTTGTTCATCGGTGTCGTTGAGCATCGGCTGAAAATGCACCCGGGCGAGGACTTTTTACCTCAGTGATTATTTTGGAAGGATCGAATGGAATCCAATGGCATGTTTAAACGGCAGGTGTATGAATATGAATAAACTTTTATTTTGTAATATAAAAAAGAATGTATGTGAAATTTTATGTAAATATATAGAATACAAATAGACCTGTATATAACCACATCAGTCTGTTTTATTGTCTTCAAAAGAGTTGAATGCAAAGGAAACCAAAGGGGACGAGCAGTATGAAACGTCATTCTATGATACATAAAGAAGGTAAATTGACGGAAAAGGACAAGAAAATATGTGGATTATCCAAGGAAGAGGTGGATAGAGGGAGAGAAAGAGAGAGA